TTTTTTGCGATACGTGGGCCTCTCACTGTTGTGGCCCCTCCCGCCGCGGAGCACAGGCTCCGGACGCGCAGGCCCAGCGGCCACGGCTCACGGGCCCAGCCGCTCCGCGGCACGCGGGATCCTCCCGGACCGGGGCACGAACCCACGTCCCCTGCATCGGCAGGCGGACTCCCAACCCCTGCGCCACCGGGGAAGCCCCGGGTGGTGAGTTCTTGATGCTGGCACAGACACATGGGTGCTGTGCCCTGGAGAATGAGGCAAACTTGGGGGACGGATGCTGAGGTAAGGGGCAGACCACATGGAGGGGCCACTGAGCTTAGCGTGGCAGAGTGCTAAGGCCACCCCTATTCCTTTCTGGGTCCTTGCAAGTAATTTCCCTTTGCTCTCCTTCCTTGACTCACCCCTTCCAAGCCTCTGCTTCCAGGTCACCTCAGGAGCTCTCTGCCTCTGCCCAGCCCCCACCCTGTGCCAGTTTCCCCAGGGCACTGTGGTACCCAGCCCACTATATGTGCTGCTGTCTCCCTTTACTGCCATATGAGCTCCACAACACTTGGGGCTGCTGAGTGCTCCATGGCTACAACACTGCTCAGCACACAGCAGATGTTCAATATATGTTGACGTAAATGAATGAGAAAGAGGGAGGACATAGAGATAAGGCAGGCTTTCTGATGGGGGATAAGAGGGAACTCATTGGGAGAAACCAAAGAGAGGAAAAGTATGGGACCCATTCTGAGTCTTATTTTAGTCTGTAGCTGGCAGGCAGCCTTGGAAGAGCTTTGAGTAACAGGAAAGTATTTCAGTGGACACTTCCAGATGCAAGTGGACACAGCTGTAGACAGGGGAGTCCTGGAGGGCAAGGAGTGGAGGTGGGTGGTGCAGGGTGGCCAGAGCCATCCCAGAGGTCAGCAGTGAAGGACTTGGGGGTCAAGGATGGGCTCCCTTGTGCTCAGGGTGCCCTGGGAGGTGACAGAGGGGTGGCAGTGCAGGCTCAGGCCCTGGAGAAGTCTGGGTTCCTGGCTTGCTCCTTCCTCTCACTAGCCAGCTGACCTCCTCCATGAGGCATTCAACTGCTTTGGGCCTCAGTTTTCACTTCTGAAAAATGGCACCAGTACTATACCTCTCTCTGATACCTGTTTATATACCTATCTCTAAAGTGGCAGCAGTAACACCTAAGGTGTCAATGTGAGTGCTCAGTATGTAATAATCACTACCCAGGGGGTATGCTGAGTGCTTTACAAGCAGCTGGATGAGTTCTGGTCCATGTCTGAAGAACTAAGCACAGTGCACTGTACCTGGTAAGCATTTGACAAATGCTGGGTACCTACTATCATTATTTGTAAAATAGGAAATGGAAGTGTCAGAGACGAGGACTGCCCACAGTCAAGTTGGTCTCCAGAAGTTTCTGGCTTCGATGGATGATAAGTGGGGGGATGTGGATACTGCTAGTTTAAGTGCTTCTGTACTGCCATGGGGGAAGGTAACTCAGCAGTGCCCAGGCCAGGCTCTTCTAGGCCTTCTTGCAGACTTGGATCTACCGGCTGAGTACTGTTTATCTGCACCAATTCACATTAGGGTGTTAATTGTGGACAATGCTTAATAGTCACTCCCTAAGACTCTGGAGGGGAGCGTGACAGCTAGAATTCAGGTTGGAAGACCTTGTGCTCCAGATCCTGGGCAGCTCACCAATGTGTGAGAGGGTGAGGGAGGGAGATAATGCCTTTCTCCCCATTTCCCCCTTCAACATCTTCTTTTTCCCACTCTCACATTGTCCCTCCCAGCTAAGGCCCTGCCCTGGTCACTGCTGAAGCTGCGGTTGAGGGGTCACCTGTAGAGGGAAGGTGGCTGACAATGTGAAGGCAGATTTTGACTCAACAGGAGGGAGAGCTGCCTACAAGTGGAGCAAGTTGCCCTTAGCAGCTGTAGGCCTTGGCTGAGTACCTGTCAGGGATGCTTCTGTGAGGTGAGCTGGGCCAGGTTTCCTGCCCCAAGCCTGGAACTCTGTGCTTGTGGTGGTCAGCATCTCCTAGCACCATGCATATTTTGCTTAGGGAGGGTGGGGAAGACCGACAGAGTGAGGGAGCACAGACATGTTCCTTACTCTGAATTAGGAGCAAGTTCTGTTCTACCATCCTGAAATGATCACGGATGCCCAAAGGATGCAGCAGCTGGGTAGGGGGCAGGGGAGAGCCTGCTACAGAATGCCTTGGGAAAAGATCCCTCAGAGCCAGGCCCCCTCCCCTTCTCACACTCAGCAAAGACCCTGACCACCACAGGTGAGGAGGGAGGACCACTTTAGGGCAAAGGATGCTGGGCCCAGAGCAACACGGCAGCACCTCTCTGTTCCCCCCTCCTCCTATATCCTTGTTGCCACCAGCAGAACTCAGCAATTTGGGACACAGACAGGAGGCCTGGGATCTGCTGTCCTCCCTGCACCTTAGGTCTCCCAGGCCTGGGGGCTCCCTCCAGGGCTCCTGGGCAGCTCAAATTCCAGGTAACTCCTTTCTCTTTACAGAGCTGACCCGTGCCAGCATGCTCCCGGGTCCCCTGAATTCTGTCCTCCTCTGAGGACTGAGCATCAAGGGAAGTCCACAGATCGTGTGAGGGAGGGTGGGCTGCCCCCAGCCAGGAGTAAGGGGGAAAGGGAAGTTGTATTCCAGCCAGAAACTCAGTCGGTAAGGTAGGAGGGAGGAGGGAACAGGAGGAACCCCCCACCCCTGGCTGCCCCCTGCTCCGCTGCTTATCAGATGAAACTTAGAGCCAAGTAGTTGCTCCTCGGCCTTCTTAACCAGGAAGGACGTCGTCCTCCTCCTCGGGGTCTCACCTCACACCCAGAAGGTCTCCCAGACCTGCCTTCCCCCTGTACCCCGAGTCCACATTCTCCCCGGGGAATCCCCCTACCCACCTTCTTCCAGGTGACAGTCTCCCAGCCCACCTTCTCTCCCTGCAGGTCCCCCGACCCACCTTCTCCTGGCAGGTCCCCCGGTCCCTCTTCTCCCTCAGCAGTGTTCCCCCGGCCCACCTTCTCCCCCGGCGGTGTACCCCGGCCCGCCTTCCCCGCGGTCCCCGGCCCGCCTTCCCGCGAAGGGAGCGGCGGCCCAGGCTGGCGGGCGGAGGCGGCGCCACCCGGGGCGCTGACGTAGAGGCCGCTCGGCGGCCGGGGGTCCCTTCGGTGGGGCCGCGGCTCTCCGCCCGCCGCCCCCGCGCGTCCATTCCCTTTTGTGTCCCGCGCGCGGCCCGTCCCCCGCGCACACTCGCGCCCTGCGCCCCGCGGGCCGGCGGGCGGCTCCCGGCGCGGCCCTGCACCGCGCGCCCCGCTTTGTGTGGACGCGCCAGCCGGGTGCGCGCGGGCTGTAGTGCGCCCCCGGCCCCGTCCCCGGCCCCGGCCCCGGCCCCGGCCCCCGCCCGGCCCGGCCCGCCCGGCCCGACCCGGGAGCGCAGCGCGGGCCGAGGGGCGGGCGGGCGGCGCGGCGAACATGGCGACGGTGCCCGTGTACTGCGTCTGCCGGCTCCCCTACGATGTTACCCGCTTCATGATCGAGTGCGACGCCTGCAAGGACTGGTTCCACGGCAGGTGAGCGCGCAGTCGCCCGGCCCCGGCCCCGGCCCCCGGCCCCCGGCCCCGGCCCGGCCCGGTGAGCGCCCCGCAGGCCCCCGCCCGCCGCCTCCCGCCGGCCGCGCGCCCTTTTGTGCCCGGGGCGGGGGGCGGG